TAGTTGTTAAAAATGAAACCAGAAGACTACCAGTATTTTCTTTTCATACAAAGACTTAAAATAGTACTACATACTCTCATATTGAAAATTATTTACCAAATTCAATATACAATCTTGTTCTGTCTACATAAAACCATTCTTCATTAATTATGATGAGGAATGGTATGAAAAAATGACTAGATTTTTACAAAAAAAAGTAGTACAGAGATTGAAAGAAAAAATAAATATCTAAAACTATTTTGATCTTTTATCAATTATTGTTCTTTAATTTAAGTGGTTATAACAAGACATACTGTACAAATGCAATCAATATAAGATGTAAAGCCAATGGCCTTTGTTAATAATAGGAACCCTCCTTTCTTGGGTTCATATTAATAACTATTCATGACCCACCTCATCAACCTAACAGGATTAGTATTTCTAAAAAGCATAACTGAACTTAGTCAAGTCAAGTGAAAGAAAAGTAAAAATAAATCAATAAATAAAAAGATAATAATAAATAAAAAAGAAATGAAAAAAAAGAAGAAAATCCAACTAACGACCTACACTGGCCTTCTGGAGTGAGAATTTTTATCATTTGCAGGTAATACTCTCTGCCAGTTTGGCCTTGGTTGCACAGGTGGTACCGGCTGCTGTCTAACCTCTGGCTCAACAGGTTTCGTTGGATGCCTTTATTGCAAAAATGAATCTTAACAAGCAAAATAATATATAGTCCCTTTATGCAAAAGTATGGAAGCCCCCAGGGTGTATGGGAAAGATATAATGCGTAAATTATAAGTTTAAAATTTCCTACTCTTTATGACATCAGCTCAAATGTCCATTAATAAATAGTCTGAACAAATGAGAAATGAACATGAATAAACCTAAGTTTGACTGATAAACAAACTTAACCTAAAATCAGCAGTCACTGATAATTACTAGACCCACAAAAATATTTGGAAAAGAAAAGGTGCAAGATAAAAAGAACACTAACAATAACAACAACAAATATATACATGTAAAAACTTACTGTTCTCCATCATCAACAATCTGTCTCAATATGTTTATGATATATATTGGGGTGTAGGTGCCAGAAGAGACCAGGGCATCAATCTCCGCGTAGACTGGGGTGGTGAGGTGCAGGTGTTGGTAGAGACGCAGGCTAAGGCTTGACACCAACTTGTTCACGTCTACCTCCAACTGCTTCATGATCTGCACCTCTTGTCTCCAGTCTTGGATTCCTGCATTGCTTGGCAGCTGGTCCCACACTTTGGGGTAGCTTTGGAAATAAACGAAAAAAAAGTTAAGTTTCAGATATAAATACGGATAAAAACAAAATAAGTGGGGAAGCTTATGAGCTTTTAATGAACTTTTTTTTCTTTTTTTTTAACATTATATATATATATATATATATATATATATATATATATATATATATATATATATATATATATATATATATATAAACATATATATATATATATATATATATATATATATATATATATATATATATATATATATATATATATATATATATATATATATATATATATGAATATCTAAATTTCCTTTTGTGATAAGATCATTAGAAAGCCTGCACAAAAACCTTAAATTAATGCCATTGTATTAGCCTTGGAATAAAATAATATCTAATTATCCTTTTTGAAAGACCTTAACTGATAAGATGTTATGCAATAGAACAAAAATACTAAAAATTAAAAAAAATTAAAGATCTTCGAACTACAAAAGCCCCTTTAAATCATCACCAACCCATCAGCAATAAACAAACCCCAAAACACACCTAAAGCAACACCTCAACGACACAAAATTTTATTAAACCCCGCGAGCTCCTGTCACCAGAGCCAACCAGACACTCACTACTGCTCGATCTTCTTCCTCCACAAATCCTGCGTTGCAATGACATTCCTCAATCTCATGCAAGTAGCCGCCCCTCTGCCCAAATCCTGGACCGAAACGACCCTGCAGGACACGATCTTGAGGAGCAGCTCGTCAGGAAGGTCCAGGAGACCCGCTTGGTCCGAGGGCTCCATTATGTAAACAAACACGGGTCAGCTGACGCCCGGCGGACCACATCAGCTGATCAGAAACACGTGCGGTTCTCCGGAAGCGTCGGGTTCAATCTGCGCATTTAATTCGCTTGTATGTTTTTTTTTTTTTTTTTTTTTTTTTTTTTTTTGAGTACTAGTTCATTATTCAATTCACTCATGTTTTTTTTTCTTTCTTAAGTACTAGTTCATTAATCAATTCACTCATGTTTTTTCTTAAGTACTAGTTCATTATTTAATTTGCTTCTGCTTTTTTAAGTACTAGTCCATTATTCAATTCGCTTCTGTGTTTTTTTAAGTACTAGCTCATTATTCAGTTCACTCATTTTTTAAAATGTACTAGTTCATTATTCAATTCACTCATGTTTTTTTCTTAAGTACTAGTTCATTGTTCAATTCACTCATTTTTTTTAAGTACTAGTTCATTATTCAATTCACTCATGTTTTTTCTT